CCCTGGGTCCAACGACTATAATATTATTACTATTGTTATCGTTTTATATCAACCCTGGGCCCTACGACTATAATAGAAATCCTATTGTTATCGTTCTATATCAACCCTAGGCCCTAAGACTATAATATTATTCCTATTGTTATCGTTCTATATCGACCCTGGGTCCAACGACTATAATATTATTCCTATTGTTATCGTTCTATATCAACCCTAGGCCCTAAGACTATAATATTATTCCTATTGTTATCGTTCTATATCAACCCTGGGTCCTACGATTATAATAGTATTCCTATTGTTGTCGTTCTATATCAACCCTGGGCCCTACGATTATAATAGTATTCCTATTGTTGTCGTTCTATATCAACCCTGGGCCCTACGACTATAATATTATTCCGATTGTTATCGTTCTATTCCAACCCTGGGCCCTACTACTATAATATTATTCTGATTGTTATCGTTCTATATCAACCCTGGGCCCTACGACTATAATATTATTCCGATTGTTATCTCTCTATTCCAACCCTGGGTCCCGGTGTTTGTTGACTATGACATTTTTTTCTTCTATTTTATTAAGAGTTGAAATTGACGAGTTATATACAATAGAAATCAACGGATACCACTCGTTATGGGCAGGTTTGTGAACAGTAAGTACATGTACTGATTTCCCTTCTACACATCACGAATGAACAAGAATTTTTAGACGATTTGTGGTCGTTGTACAATTAAACATGTCATATTTCGGAGTATTTTATTAATGATCAATAAGTCAAAAAAACATTCTATGCGATTTTATCGCCTTGAAATTTCGAAAGAAATTCCGTGAAGCTTCAAAGAAGCCTATCTCTCTTCAGTCATCCGATTATTCTATTCTACCAGGTTCAGTCGTTCATATCAGTGGTGGCGTCCACGAGTCGGTCGACATCATATGAATCCGTTATCCAATCTGTATTCTTACGAGGACTTTGTTCACCACTTATTTATAATTACCAACATGATGAAACATGTCATTTGTTACGTCTATATTCAGCATGTCGCGGTAACAGAGACCGTTTTTTGTGTGTGTGCCATTAACAAAGCCTTGTCAACTTTTCCAACAGTTTATGTGATTCAGTATCTCCTTCGTGGCGCTCACATTCAGTATATAAGAAGTAAATAATAAATATTTTCTAATATTAAATTGTAGTCTGAAATAACATACATTGTTTCGTCAAACAAGCACCAATTAAGCACTGTAATAGGATTACGTTTCCTTATTGCTTCTACACTATTGAAGGAGCCTCTCAACGACTTTGATAGGATGACCTGGTTACGTACAGAACTAGTTACTGATTTGTGAACAGAATGCATCTATCAATATTGACATTTTGAATAGGGAGAGGATAGATTTTTAACTCGGGATGATAAATTCGTTACGTTTACCATCGCGTTAGGAGGTCAGATGGAGGCTGTCGTCATACTGTGGCTTAATCATTGTGAAGGTATATGATGTAGTTTGTTTACTTTCAATTCACTGCGTAGATATTAAGTTTCAAGTTCAGATGAAACAATGACAGAATACGCGGTTGTTTTGTATATCTTTGGGGCATACCATTTGGCATTTACATCACTTCAAAATTCATATTATTTCAGTTGAGACATTTTACCAGATATTATAGCATCAGACGGCACATTCGGTTGAGTAATGTATTAAAAGTGACACTCTGCCTTGTTGTCGAACATGACGTCATTAGAACCAGCTGCCGTCAAATAATACGCTATTTCCTGTACTTTTTTTAAGCAGCGATATTTGCATCGTCTTACTGCACGGGGGTCCGAGAGCACTTGCTAAGCCTCATGAGACATATATAATTATATACACAGAATGTTTATCCGACACCATTTGTAAACGACACACTGGCCATTCATGTACAATGTACCTCGATCAATGACAGGCAACACAAACTTCGTAGTTCGAGGCAGCTCATCATAACGATAAATGAGATAAATAAGTTTGTACACTAATCTGATCTTAGTGAATTTTGTTAAATGGACAATAAGATGAAGTCTGTCAATACAAAATTTTACTTTTGTCTTCAATACACTTGAAAATGTGTAATTAAGTATGGTCTTTCACCTTTAAGATACCCTCTGTTGTCTTATTTAAATAATTAAGGGTTTTACCACGGAATTAGATTTAAGTCCGTGGTTTTACGTACATGTACCTATCCTTCTGCTTCAACGTTGGTTAGTACCTTTTTGGCCCCTACACTCACCAATGAGTCTTAGAAGGACGAAACAGCTGTATGATGCAGTGTAATTCATTTTAAGCATACTGTATATACAGAATCTACTATCTATAACCATTTATTTAGGTGCAATTAGCCATGTGTGTGTGTGTATGTGTATGCGTGTATTAACTCTGATCTTTACATCGTACTATTGGCTGTTACGAAATAATCTCGCTGGAAACTTTCACAATGGTCAAATAAATACAACTGCCACGGAGTCCATGCTAGCTACTGTAACTAGAGCCCAAATATTTACTTACTAAAAGATGTGTTTGGCGCCTCTTGATGATATCAGATCATAGGCATGTAAAAAAAAAGGCCTGTTCGAGTGATGTCATTTAATGCCCGATAAGATTAAGACCACGTGTATGTACCATTGTCAACATTTTCACGTTAAATTTCACCGTATAAGTGGAGATTTTCGTAAATTTGGCAGTTTTTAAATCAGCCTGAAGTGCACCAAAGAAATTCACACTGCAACAAGACTGAAGAGTCAAATCGTAAAGATAATCCACACGAAAATCCCCTTTTTTACAGATCTTATAAAGTCTATCACATAACAAACCAAAGTAAGCATGGCAATTATCTAATTAACAACTCAACATAAACATTCAAAACTATTGAATCTGAAGATAAAAATGATGCTTTATGAAACACTGGGAAAACAACTCTCAAATAATTCCTTACATTTCCGGACACTGATCAAAAATGCGGAAATTTAGACTTTGCAATTTTTCAAAAAGAAAACCACCTTTTGATTATCACATTACTGTAAATGTAGCCGAGATAAACATCAAAGCTTACATGTCTTGATAAGAACCATCAATGAGTTTTACAAAAAAAACCCATATACAAGTCACCCTTTTTCCACTGGGGTATCTATATTTCCTCAATCACGTATACCTGTCCATTACAGTCTATCAAAGGGTGAAACTATGGCGAACATAACTCATCATTTATTAAGCATGTTTTGATGTAGGGGACATCGATAGGTACAGTTTGTTGATGGTTGGTGTTAGCGTACACGGGCACTCCTATATCTACACGTGTAACACACAACTATACACAAATCTGTAGAATCCTGTCGTCTACTTTCTCAAATCTGAAATGTGTTAACAATGGTCCCGAAATGATATCTGCAATTATCAAAATGATCATAAAACAACCTTGCCGTCATGTTCTACAAAAAAAACACTGCACGTAAAATATTGTCTAAAGCAACTTTGTACTACCAGTAATTAAACATCAATTATATATTTTATAAATAAGAATTCATATTCTAAATGTACAAATTAACAACATAGATGAGGTGAAATTCAGTCTGTTTTCTGTCACTTGGTGTCAGACCCACCGTTGATACAAAATTAAGTCCCCTTCACACAAGGATGCTTTAGACCAAATATCCTGTCATTCCTACAGAAGATGAAGAATTTTAAAGAATTTGCTAAATAACCCTATTGGGCCACACCCCGCAGGCCCCTGGAGGGTCAGACCTACTACTTATACAAAATTGATTTCCCTTCCTCATAGGATGCTAATGTTCAAATTTGTTTCAAATACCTTTATCCCAAAAGAAGAAAAAGGATATTGAAGCTATTCCTCCATATCCCATATTGGCCCCGCCTTTCTGCCCCAAGGGTTGTCACACCCCGCAGGCCCCAGGAGGGTCAGACCCACCACTTATACAAAATTGATTTCCCTTCCCCATAGGATGCTACTGTTTAAATTCAGTTAAAATACCTTCATTCCAACGGAAGAAAAATGATATTAAAGCTATTCTTTTATATCCAATATTGGGCCCCGCCCCTCTGCCCCCCAGGGGGACCACATCCACCGTTTATACAAAATTGAGTGCCCTTGGCCCAAACATGCTCCAGACCAAATTTAGTTAAAATCCACTTAGCCGTTCAGGACAAGTAATAATTTAAAGGAAATGTTGAGGGACAGACGATGGAGGCTGCGCCATGGCATAAGCTCATAAAAGATCACTTGTTCTTCAAGGCAGGTGAGCTAAAAACGGTTAAACCTTACAGTGCAACAGTATTACCATTTGTTCAGCACAGTTCAACTTTCATCCCTTTCCTGGTCTTTGTAATTATTAATGACTGTGGATATTAGATTACCACTGTAAATGGTGAAATCAATATTTGACAAATTTCTATCTTACATTGAAGGCAAATATTTTGCTGCATGGGAAATTTCCATTATACAATATTTATCTCTGTTTCCAAGTGTCACACAAGGATATCTGTAAAACACTTTTTTGTGATTTATAAGGTGGTCTTAGTTATTTAACTTAGGCTAAGTCAATTAACCAGGGCTTAATATGTTAACCAGGGCCTAATTAATACTCTGGGGCTAAGTTAATTAACCTGGGATTATTTAATTAACCTCGACTTAGTTTATTAACCAGGGCTTAGTTTATTGACCTGAGCTTTGTTAATTAACCTGCAGTTAGTTAATTAACTAGGGTTAAGTGAACAAAATCAGGACTTAGATTATTATTACGGGCTGGGTGGATAAACCAGAGCTCATTTACTGTAATTAACTAATTACTTGAGGTCAAAAGGTACACAAGTAAACAGCCATTACATCGTGTTTAGGTTAGTCTACGGAGTTACTGTAGAGAAAAGTGTTTTCCCTCTTCAGACTAATTAAAGTTATCATCATTTTTACTTATTTTAAAGAAATAAACGGAGAATAATTCTAGCAAAAGACAACAGTATTTCAATGTTAAGAGGGTGAATGTCTTTAACAAAACATTCAACATATAAACCTCCACGTGTTCCAAAATACTGTTCCTGCAGCAACACACAAAATAATGAAAAAATTAACGAGACAAAAACTTCTATGCTTGACAATAAAATAAACATAAATTAAACTTGATAAACCGACATAACCAGCCAATAAAAAACATTATACAAGATATTTTAATATTGTTCATAAACATATACTACATAACTTGATCAGATCAGTGTCAATATACAGTAGACATTGGTTTAGATTGTTTACAGCTTAAATAATTGATTCCAAATAAGCTGGGCCCGTATTCATGTAAATATTCTCATGCTCAAACTCAGATTCTGTGCTCAAGTCCAATGTCTTGTTTCCATGATAAAGTAATAAACAAATAATATTTTGTCAATAAAGTGGAAGAATTTTGGAGAGACTTAAAGCCGAAAACTGTTTTCAATATTTACACTAGACTTTTTGAGCTTGTTATATGATTTAAGCGAGATACAAGAAAGTTGGCTTGAGTACAGAGTTCATGCTGGAGCATGCAAATGGTTCCATGAATACGGGCCTGGTGGCAATTCATAAGCACTTCTACATTTATATATTCAGTTTCTTTTCAACATCAAACTACAGTGTAGTTATCAAGTTGAATAAGTGGCAGAATGCTTTATCACAAAGCTACTTCATCTCATAATAAAGTTCAAAAACAAATAGTCATAAAGTTCTAATAAAGTTCATTTTGGAATGCTAAGCTTTACTTTATATTTTGTTTGCTACACCAAGAAATATGAGGATTGTACCATAGCCTACAAATATTAAACTCTGTAATAATTTCTAACAAGAATGAAAGCAAATCACACATAAGTAATACTAACAGAAAAAACATTTAATAAAACAACCTCTGGACCCAACATCATACCTAGAATATATAATTTATCAATTGTATACATGTACATCAAAGATTACGTCCTGTAAGGCAATATTTGTACAGTGAAATCTGGTTAACAGACCTCTTTATCAAGAAATCCTCTTTTCTGGACTCTGATAAGCATACAAAAAATAAAATAAAACTCCAAATAAAAAATAAATTATATTCAGGCCTCCTGAGTTATCAGTTAGAAATTTGTTTCAGACCTCTGAGCTATCAATTTGGAAACCTTTAGTTTGTCAGTGATTCATTAACAAATCTTTTGTTTTGGACTCCACGTTACACATTAAGAATTTGAGTTTTCAGACCTCTTTTTGAGAAAAAATTAGATTTAGTTAGCTATATGAATACTCATATTTTTGCATTTTTCTATATGCAAATGCTGTAACACAGATGAACTATTTATTTTCTTTCTCAAACTTACTTTGAAAAAGTTCAAGACCATAGGACTTCCTATTATTCACACTTACTGTATGATCTATTGAAGTATTATACAATCTGTACCTTGATACTTTGGCATATAAATAATTAGACCAAATACCTGCTATGACTTGGAAAATTCAGACTTTCCGCTTTCAGGTTAGTTCACCTGTGGCTTAAAAAACACTAAATTATCTATAAACTACCTTTTCAAGATGCTCATTTGTAAAATGTCTAAATAAACTTATTATGTTGCATACTTAAAATTGACAGATATTTTTCCCAAATGACAATACCATGGCAACTCTTTCTATTTATAGTTGTTTTCATAATAAACCAAATAAACAATTACTTTACAAAGAAATATGTCAATCTGATCCAAGGTGCCAACTTGTACAGTTTTTTTCATGATGTGATCTCATACTACAGAAGTATTGGGTTAAATGGCATCTCTGGATGTAATCATGAACAGGTTTAGAAATATCTTAATTTAGACGTATAATAGTTTGATGGGACATGCACTGTTATCACTATTGTTGGATAGACTGAACTCATAATAGCAAATATTTCACCAGCTTGATATTTTAAAAACTTTTATTACAATTAGGATTAATTTAACTTGTTAACAACCCATTAGCTGGACCTAACTATTACAACAAAATTAACAGACAAATAATGATATTTATTTAAAGTTTTGTATGTTCAGAAAAAAATTGGAGGTACTCTTTAAATTGAAAATTGTAATATTAGAAATACAGACACAAATATACATAACAATTGAACATTCATACAATACACATTTTCTGTAATATGCAACCTTCCACAATAAACAATAAACACCATCCTTTTAAAATAATGACTTCAGCTGATGACTTGAAAATCCATCTCTTCTCACATAGTCACAATATGACAGAATACTAACAATCTTTCATTATTATCTCTTCTTCTTCTCTTTGCCATATGCACTGTCCAACCCTAAGCCTGTGAATACAAATACAGTACCTAGCCACTGCCGTGAATTCATTGGGTTCTGGAATATTAAAACTGAGGCGAAGATGGTGAAAAACTTTCTAGTTGTGGTAATGATTGAACATGTTAACGGGCCGAAGCAAGTCACTGTGGTGAAAATAAACATCTGAAATATAAAAATAAAAGGTTTCAACATCAAAGTGTTTCTTATTTAAATGACCAAGTAGTATTGATTATATGTAGTATTGAGTATATGTCTAAAGCGACATTTTAACTATTAAAGTCCTGGACAAGCAATATGTGATCCAACGTTGACTACAAGTAACTTAGGTTACATGAACTACAAGAATGTAATTAAGTCACTATCAAACAATAACAACTGGTTTTATTAGCAGTATGGATCTGAGTGTAAAACATTCAAGTCATGCAGGAGACTTGCATAGCAACTGTTAATGTATTTCAATGTAGAAGAGACTTGCATAGCAACTGTTAATGTATTTCAATGTAGAGGAGACTTGCATGGCAACTGTTAATGTATTTCAATGTAGATGATTTTTTCTTACCTGTCCTATTGCACTGGCAACTCCAAAGTACAGCATATTCAACAATACTGATGGGTAATTTTGTGCAAACACTAAAAACTCGAGAATCTCTCCAGTACCGAATAACCCTGCAAAACACAGAAATGAGGTGAAAATAGGTGTAATTTAATAGATCCATATGGGAAATAAATAATTTGTAAAAAGGATTTAGACAAAATACTCTGTGGATTATTGGGATCACACATTTAGACCTAGATTATCCGTATAAGTTTTGGTCACTAAATGATTTTAAACAGCAGAGCAATTTTACGATAAGTATTTGATTTTTTTATACAACATTTTGGTGTAACTGATGCACATACATCATTTAACCAATAAACATATGGAGTTTGTGACATGATTGAAGTAAAATCCGAGAGTTATGCCCCTTGAAACATTTTAGCATTAAACAGATGTAGCATTTCACACAGAGATTAACTTTAATAAAACATTTTTCAGTAAGTATTTTTTCGTAAAATAAACGCCTTTCTTCCTTTTAGAATGACAGCTGCTACAATTGTAGTAGGAAATATCAGAACATTTGAGCACAAGGTTGCTGGTTTGAAAATGTAATATTGAATTTCTGTTAATTTCTTAGATGGAAATTAATATAATTTGCTCTTCAGATACTTTCATTAACTATCTTGTTTTATTAACTCTTGTGTGTACTAATCCATACATGACATACAGGAGAGTTTAAGACCAGACTGACATTCAGCATTTTACAGTAAAAAGTTCATGAAATGTTCAATTTCTAGTTTAGAAATTGTTTTTTTTATTGTGCTTATACTTGAAAGTTGGCTGTCATATTGAATTAACAAATTCATCGTTCAACAAAACTAAATGTGAAAATGGCACTGCTTTTGTAATAACAATGTATTCTGTTAAAGTAAAACATACAAAAGTGTTAAAATTACCCTGTATACTGTAACCTATAAAACATATAGTGTAGATCAGAAACTTACGTTCAAATATTATGCATATATACTTGTTATATAGGCTCCTATCTGTCTTGTGTACAAATCTATGGCAGACCATAATAAACCCCAGGAACTGATACTAGACCTGTCTCGAGTACTTACCTATAGCAGACCAAAGTAAAGACCACAGGTTGACGTTCAGCATCATACTGTAAGCCCCCGTCATGTGGTCAGTTCTCATCCTCTCTTGTGTAGCGCCGGTCAGTCCATCCAAGGTCAAAGACACCAGCTGTTAATAATGAAATCAATCTCTACATCATCATAATTCATGTCTTTAATTCAAACAATATGTTAAGCATTTGTTCAGAGGTTCTATTAAAATCTGAATGGCTATATTCATAATAACAAATTTAGACACAAAGGCCGCCTTGTAATGTAATCCAGCAATTTAATTTTGGACATATGACAATTTAATTCTATGTTTTTTAACTCGGAGGATATTAAAAAAAACCCATCTTTTCTCTTGTCAAAATAACTTCAACGTAACAAGGTTTAATTGAAATTTTACAAACCAACAGAAGTTCTCCAAAGCCAAATAAAGTCCCGCTGCCTTTAGAGGTCGGTGCTTTGTCTTTATAGAGAAACATGGCAACACCTATAACGATCATCAGGACAAAGAGAAACTTAGCTGCAGGGTACCGCTTCCTAGCAAACAGTATCCCCAGAATCATCACAGGGATAGGCTTGGCCGACTTTCCCAGCACCTATAAACCAGTTAAACCGATATCAATAACAAATAAAAACAAAATCAATGACAAATTCAAGCTCATACTATATTTATCACTCATTTATGTGCATACTTCAAAATGTACTGAAACAGAAACAATACATTGCATATATTCATGTATCACTAGAACTCATTGTATTTAAGTCAACAGTACAATTAGAATTACACAATTAACATTGATCAGTATTCCATTCCCTACTTTACTATCACAACAGGTTAAACAACATCCTTATTTTTCACATATGATATGCATTTATATTCATTACGGACATTATGAGAAGATATCTGTTGGATAAATATGCCAATATTATATTGGTTGACTTGATAATTCCATCAGTACAATCGGTTTGACTATACTAGACAGCAATATTAATGCCAGTAATCTGTCCTGAGTTGGATTGTGAAGCAATTGTATACATACAGTCTTGTGGTAGTTTAGCAAAATTAACTAATGATAAAGTGTCTCACTAACGTCACTTGTGTTTGGTAATTGATAAAATGGACATGTGCTTTTACGTAAAGTTATACAATTTGGTAATTGAAGACGGGAACTCACTTCTATATTAGGTAGTTGACAAAGTGCTAATCTGTGACAGGTAGTTGACAATATGAATGATAAAGTAATTATCTGTTTTGTGTAATTTACAAGTTAAAGTGCTTGACAAAGTGCTCACCTGTGTTGGGTAATTAACGAACTGAAGAGCCTTGTTGCTGGCCAACATGGCTCCCAAATAAGACAGAGAACATAGACCGTACAGCTTGGCTGGTGTTGAGTCTTTTTCATTTTTCCAGAACATCAATACTGGGAAAAAGAATATTGTGCACGATGTATAATATGGATGGATTGTATTAAAATAAATTGTTCACAAGAAAGTTTCTACAAAATTGCTGTTAAAACTGATAAGAAAATATCTGAGGCTTACATGTGCTACATATTTGTGTTAACCAGTTTACTTTCTCATCTTTCATTAGAATTTTCTTTTCCATTACATAACAGTATAATCTTATAGTTTTCAACTATGACAGCATAATAAAACACTAGTTCTCATTCCATTGTGACGTCATAATAGTTCATGTAACTGAGTGGACCCATGTTGGATACAGTATTGATATCTCGCATGGGTGTTCCACATGGAACAAATGTTTCTGTTGACCAAAACAATTGTACTCACATTTTTCCCTTTCCCATTGTTAGATATCCTTGTCTCACCATAGGGTTGAGACAGGGGGGTTCCCCTTTTCATAACGCAATTGTTAATGTCACATCAACAATGCATCGACATCACATTAACCTTGCATTTAACAGTAAATAATGTATATGATACAAAATAGATGAAAAGGGTTAGAGAAAAAGAATTATTAACCCCCCCCCCCCCCCTTGAGGTGGGATTGAGGACAGATTCTGAAGTTGCAAAAATCACTTGGCAAAGCCATGTGTTCAGTAACTTAAGAATCTCCCACCTTCGAGTTGAGATTTCCCTATTTCGCTCCGAAGAGGGTGAGAGATTCTATTAATCTTTCATACACAGAGGTGGTAGAAAATATGATATACCTGTAAGTTCAGTATTGTGCTATATCAGTTTTCCAATATATATTGTTGTTACAGCCTATTTAAAAATATACATTGACACCTTATAACACTGGTATTCTTTTCTATTGCGTATCGTTAGTCAGACTCGCTTAAATGTTACAACATACCTAGTTTAGCAGCTAATGCATTGGCAATACATTGCATGAACACCAAGGTTGTGGTATATGTAAACTTCTCCGTCTTTTCTCGTTCTCCGTATTTGCCCTTTGTTCTGGAAAATAAAAATTGAACAGATAGAAAATATATCATGCAGCGGTGTTTAGCTTACCGGAACTCAATATCCTGCTCAGATATGAATTAATTATCAGTTAAGAACTGTTTAAATATGGAGTTAAGAGATATTTCCCCATAAATTTGTAGGTTAACTCACAGGGTCACGTTACAATCACACATATGCTATACTGATATGGGTCACAACACATGTGAGCATAGCATACTGGTTAACTCAATGTCTGGCAACAATTTTAATTATAAATTGAAGCAAACAATGTAGTGTTGGTTTTGTTCAGGGCCTATTTTACCTCTGACAACCAAATTTATTGAACGGTTAGTTGATTTTGGTCATTCCAACAGGTTATTTAAACATCTAATGATCCATATTGAATATGAACTACACACTGCTACATTCACAGTACAGGTTCAAAAAAGTCGAAAAATTATCTGATCACCGGGTAATTGTAGATTTATAATAAGCTTCACAGACTAAGAGCAAACATCAGATTTGATCAGATGAACGCATGTTTTATTTAACAAACAAAAACGACGCAATAAGTGTCGCTACTTACATAGATTCCTGAAGTAGGCCATACACAAAATATGACAAAAATGTTCCAACAGCACAGACGGCTAACTTTGTGTTGGTAGCAGAATACATCTTCTCAATTTTAGCCGGGTCAGTAGAAACTAGAACCGTCGCCTGGCCTTCCGGTGATTTCCCACCTAACATTCAGCAGATAACAGATTGGGAAATTTACATATTAGCATTTTTTAAGTCGAACAGCACATAAGCGTATACCTTTACGTGTCACGTTCTGCCTACACTAAAACTTACTTCCTGTTTTCGGAGGAAAATGACGTGCTGCATTTTGATTAGTCAAAATATAACGTGGGTTTTCCCCTGGTTAAATATACCCGAGACAAGTTCAAGAAACCACTCTTGACAAACCAAGCGCAGTTTTACTGATTTTTTTTTTATCTAAACGTCGCAACTTTTGAAATATGGGGGAACCCAGGAATTAATTTTGGGTGTTGGCCAAAATTTTAAACTCAGAAAAAAACTAAAAAATCTAATAAATTATAATTTGGGATCCCCCCCCCCCAAAAAAAATGTGTTTTCTAGAACGTCTCAGAAGCGATTTCCCGTGTTCTGAGGATTGTTTTTATGTTTAATTAACAAAAAGAAAAAAACATATTTTAAGTATGGCCCAAAGACTTTTTTTGTGTACTGGAAAGAAAATTAAAGTTTCGGTTCAAATTCTCTATCAACAGCGTGTTTTAGAAGTCAGATGGTATTATTATAGGGGCAACCTTGAGATGACAAATATATGAATCCACAGGGGGCGTGTTCATTATTACCTAATTTGGCGTCCCGCCCGCAAGGGGGATACGAGAGGTCCACCGTCAAAAAATAAATGTAGGGACGCGCAATATCTAGTCTTCAGGCATTGATGTATCTACAGTACAGTACTTCATGTAATAGTTTGTCGTACAAAAGAACAAATAACACCATAACATCGTTGCTGTTTAACTAATGAGTTACTCATGGCATCACTAAGTTGCTAAACAAACGGATAAGTTCAAATCAGTGCGACACCCAAGGCCACTAGCTATATAGTCTCGCGTTTTATAATTGTTGACTAATTCACTAGTGTAGACAATGATATATCTGAAATGTCCACGCTGATTAACTCATGTAAGGGCGTGCATATTACCAACAGTGGTACATTTGCTAAGCTATCTGGTTAAAATGGTACAACTTAGGAGGCACATACGCGTCACCTTTAAATTTAATTTAAAATTATCATACTTGTAAGTACAGCATATCATCTCATTCTGGTACGTACAACTTATTACTACGTACACAATAGTATGCTGTGTGAAGATACTTTCTTGTACGTACACGATGGTAAGCTATAAGTACCACAATGAGATATTATGTTGTACATACAAGATAGTTAAACAGTTCCAACAATATATATAATACCAAAATAATTGAATGGATATGTTTAGTCGATTATACATAATATTGTCAGCCGAAAAAAACCTTTATCGTTCTTGTATAATGATATGATTAATATCGCCCGGGCGGTTAGGAAGGTTACAATAAAAAGTATTAATTTTCAGATCATCTATAACGAGCGGTCAATAATATAATTACGCAACTTATGCTAGTATATTTCCCCCCTAAATCCGCGCCTGTAGAACTTCATTGTTTCTGAGACCACTATAATTTGCCTGCCAAGAAGTGCGAGGCGAATTTTATTCTTTCTGGAGATGTAATACTAAACTTGTTCAAGCACTGCCAAGCGTAGAGAGCTAGAATTTATCGGACATTATTTTCATTGTCAAACAGATCGAATAAGGCATAGAATAGTTTTCTGATTTTGCGGTATTATTCCAGGTTATATTTTATAACATATAGTATTTATATTTTATGATGGCCGAGCGGAGCGAGTGTTAACAAATTCTCTGAAACAATGGTAAAAATGTAGGTTTTTGGTTGAAATGTTGATGTTTGTGTCATGCCTTTCATGTGCATGTAGTTTAGGCGAGCATTTTGGCAATTAATTATTGATTTATTTTGTCATAAATATGAATTATGATTTGACTGTTTGTCTTTTACTGTGAATAAGTATGCATGCATATGTAAAAGGGCAACACCTGTTAAAAAGTATATATATACATGCCAGGCTTTTATGCTAACATTGGTTATTATTCACCTGATAACGTGATGCTAAGGTGGAGGATTTATTGTCTTTGAAATTTTTGAAATTTACATTTTTTAACAGGTATAATAAATCACTCCTAGAGATCATGTGTACATGAAACCACAGGTGAAAATACAGGTTTATCTATCATGAAATGGACTCTACCTTTGAAATAACAATTAACATATATACATGTACCTACATTTAATTCCAACATATTGATTTTATCCTCTCTCAACGGACAGGGTGATCACCACACCGTGACATTAGAACAATACGATTAGGTTAATTCATTCATTCATTCTTAATTCATTCACTCATTCATTAACGGACTGTCTGCCTTAAACCTTGCGGTTTATCAGGCAGACAGTCCGTTGAGCCTTCACCACTGACCTGACTGGAGACCCTACTAATATATAAACAAAAGAGGATAATCCCCTATTGTTTAGAGTATAAGTAGTGGCTCCTTATTTGGGCAACTGCAACCATAGGCATATATAGAAAATCATAGTTCACAGGATGGTTGATATTAGAAGAAAAAATCCCTTATGAAAAAAGGGGAAAATCTTCAAAAACCTAGGTCCAGTTTATTTTTGGACACAGAAAAAAGGGTGTTGCCCGGGTATACGTAACTAGGGCAACACCCCTGGGTCCGCCACTGCACGTCTATCTGTCAATTGGATGTATAATGGTTTGGAGGTGGAAGTTGTAGATGTTTTCAGCTACTTAGAATTAAACTTAAATTCAATAATAAATTCATTCATATTCAGAAACAGTTATCTGACCAAGGACGAAAGGCCATGCATGCTCTTTTTTCAAGCTCTTCTAACTTGAGCCTAAACTATACAACATTATTGCATTTATTTGATACGTATGTTTGCAGTATATTGCAACTTGCATGTGAAGTTTGGGGATCTACAAAAGGTACGGATATTGAGAGGTTACACTTACACTTTTGTAAGAAGATTTTAAATGTTAAGAAGTCGACTTGCAATGCAATGGTTTATTTTGAATAAGGTCGACATCCTTTGGAGTATATAAGAAAATTCAGAATGATAAAATATTGGTTAAAACTAATGGATTCGAAAAATTGTATTTTGCAAACTGCGTATTTCTTTTTAAGTACTACACATGTAGCAATACAGGCAATTGCTTTAACTGGGTTAATTATGTCAATTATTTTTTCTCTCGAATTCGCAGATGTATTGACAAATTACTATTCATATAACCATAAAAGTATTTTGTATATGATAAAGCAAATAATATTTGATCAAAGTCAACAATATCTGAGATGGCTATTAGCAGCATCACCTAAATGTATTTTATATAAGCACTTAGCAAATCACTATATTCTTCAATACTATTTGACAAAGTGTGTTCCTATGAAATACCGGATCTGTTTATCTAAACTTCGTCTTAATTTAGCTATTGAGACTGGTAGATCCAATAACATAACGAGAGAACAAAGACACTGTATGAGCTGCAATACAGATATAGAAGACGAATATCATTATATTTTAATATGCAGAAATTATCATATTCTGAGAGTAAAATACATAAAACCATATTACTGGCGAAACCCTTCAATGTATATAATATCAGCGATCTTCGTAAACTTGCTAGATATATTTTTGAGTCAAATAAGGCACGAACTCGTATATAATTATAAATCTGGTATATATATAAATATATTGCAAATATGATTCTCCCTTCGACACTAACTGTCTTTAAATTACAACTTATTCTACATTTTATTCACATGATTTGCATTGTGGTAATTTTGGTAATAACTGTTATATCTCTTGTACAGGACAATTTTGTATGTTTTAAATTAAGTGCAATTAAAGAAACTAGTTTTTTTTATCAAACTTGCTGTGGATATTCTCCACAGAGTGGCAGAATCTATTTAAAATTGTGCTGAGACTAAAATGTACTTACATGTACAGTGTATATGGACAAAATGACAGATTTTGCCAAGGAACTTGGCTTTAGCCGTTGATAGACGACCGAGAGGACCGCCAAATCTGGGAGAGATTGATATGTCCAAATAAGAGGATCGATAACTCTGGGAGAGATTGACATGTCCAAATGAGAGGACCGACAATTTTGGGAGAGATTAATATGTCCAAATGAGAGGACCGACAACTCTGGGAGAGATTGACATGTCCAAATGAGAGGACCGACAACTTTGGGAGAGATTGACATGTCCAAATGAGAGGCCCGACATCTCTGGGAGAGATTGATATGTCCAAATGAGAGGATCGATAACTCTGGGAGAGATTGACATGTCCAAATGAGAGGACCGACAACTCTGGGAGAGATTGATATGTCCAAATGAGAGGACCGACAACTCTGGGAGAGATTGACATGTCCAAATGAGAGGACCGACAACTCTGGGAGAGATTGATATGTCCAAATGAGAGGACCGATAACTCTGGGAGAGATTGACATGTCCAAATGAGAGGACCGACAACTCTGGGAGAGATTGATATGTCCAAATGAGAGGACCGACAACTCTGGGAGAGATTGACATGTCCAAATGAGAGGACCGACAACTCTGGGAGAGATTGATATGTCCAAATGAGAGGACCGACAACTCTGGGAGAGATTGACATGTCCAAATGAGAGGACCGACAACTCTGGGAGAGATTGATATGTCCAAATGAGAGGACCGACAACTCTGGGAGAGATTGACATGTCCAAATGAGAGGACCGACAACTCTGGGAGAGATTGATATGTCCAAATGAGAGGACCGACAACTCTGGGAGAGATTGACATGTCCAAATGAGAGGACCGACAACTCTGGGAGAGATTGATATGTCCAAATGAGAGGACCGACAACTCTGGGAGAGATTGACATGTCCAAATGAGAGGACCGACAACTCTGGGAGAGATTGATATGTCCAAATGAGAGGACCGACAACTCTGGGAGAGATTGACATGTCCAAATGAGAGGACCGACAACTCTGGGAGAGATTGATATGTCCAAATGAGAGGACCGACAACTCTGG